TCCTTGTATTCCGGCTCGTGCTTGTACGTCTCCTTGTATTCCGGCTCGTGCTTGTACGTCTCCTTGTATTGATGGTGGAATTTGACTTCGTGTTTCTTGGGTTCGTGTTCGTACTGTTTAAATTCATAACGGGGCTGTTCAGGATGTTTGTGCATGTATGGTTTTAGGTGACCACCGCACTGGGGAACGAAATGCTTGAATTGACACATGTCCGTCTTAGCACAGTATACTAAACTGAAGGGACACTTCCGCAGAGAAGCTTCGCCGCCAGAGCAAGAAAAGTAGTGATTCTCGCATTTTCCAGCCGGATAGTTGCCATCACGTCTGTGGTGGCAGTCGAAGGGTACCTTATGACGGTGTTCGTGATATTTGGGTTTTTTGTAGTGATGGACTGGGCGTGGATGGCCGCAACAGATTGGAACGTTGTGGTAGTAGTCGCAACGGTGTAGTTCTGGATCGTAGAAGGTGTTGTCGGCGCAATAACGACGATGGCCATAACCATTGCTGCAGGTGTAGTAAATGCGACTGCATTTGTGTAACGGGTCAGGGTAATCGCCGTCACGGAGGTGTGAGCACTTGATTGGAACTGAAAAACGAATGGTGAGTTTGTGGAATTTGGTATTCGTGGGTTGCACTCACGGACTACAGGAGGTAACGTTGGTGGCGGGCGGGTAGGTTTCACGTGCTTTCCAGAGCAGGCGAATACGTTTCGGAAATAGTCGCAGCGGTTTCGTTTGCAATCGAAATACAGATGGTCTGGACATCTGCGGTCGTAAGCGATTCCGTTGCTGCACTGGTAGTAATAGTGGCTACATTTATGCTTTATGGGATAAAGGCCGTCTGGTTTGTTGTGGCAGTTGTACTTGGAAACTAAAAATGAAAATTCAATTTGATGTTGATTAAATTGATGAATACTTGGAGGAGGCACGGTAAGAGGAGCAACGGTAGGTGGCGGCAGTGGCTTGTGAGAGCAAGCGAAGACGTTTCTGAAAGTCTGGCAGGACTTAGTTTTGATGTCGAA